AAGTTGGCAAATTGACATTGATTTTTCTGGTCATGGAGTATTTTCATGGACGTACTGTACAACATTTTGTTTGACTTCTTCAGTATATAAACCAGAATGGCTCTGCAAAAACTAGTCTGCTGCTACTTCTGGCCCAGGGAACGGGGAGGATGAGACAGGCTGGAAGGATTGTATTGATCCTTAAAGAGCAGAGTCAGCTCCGCAGATTCTAGGTGACCCTTTCTCTGGTAGGGTTTAAAAGAACAGGTGGGTGGTGTGCAGACTCAGGTCCCAGGGATGTTAGAGAAAGCTGAGATGCAGAGCTTTGTCAACATTACTCACTCGTCTAAGAAATTAACAAAGGCTACATGAAGGCAGAAGGGTTGAATTAGTTTATTCTAAAATAGATAACACAGTAAACAGCATGTTTGACATGAGGCTAGAGGCTAGGATTCTTGGCCTTGTGCCAAAACAGATCCTCATGCGATCTTCATCTGCGTGTTGGTTTGAAACAAAAGAACAAAGCAGCTTATGACTAGGCTTCACAGAAATACTACCAAAAAATGTGTTTATCTCCACACTCTTTCACAGGTGAGTTACACAGATTAAATTTGTCTCAAGGATAAGCCCACAATCTCCAGTCTAAAGTGCTTTCTGTGGTTGGACTCCATCATGACTCCAACATCAAAGACATCTATCTTTATTGTTAAAAAAAACAGATTAACAGTATTGCTTTAATGTATCTGTCTAGCTGCTATTTGGACAGATAGATTTTCTTTAACCCCTTAACGCCTGAATTTATTTACAATAAAAAAAAATTAAAAAATACTTCTGTTTTCATTTGCTTTCAAGCTGATGTTAAATTAAGTGAAGATTGTTAATTTGTCTATAAAACATAGAAAAGATATAAATTCAGGTATATGTAGGTATGATGCAAATTAGTGACAAGAGGCATAAATGAGAAAACCAGGGCTTGCAAAAGGTTCCTAGGTACGTATCAAATATGCACCAACAGGCACTGGGGGAATCCATGTGCTATCTTGGCTTGCAGTCTGCAAGGAAGAGGTATGATGCGAATTCGCGACAGTCGGCGTCAAGGGGTTCAATGCACAACACCTGAATAAATCATACAGGACTGTTTGACATAAGTCTTCCTTTCATGAACTTGCTAGGGCCTCTGTTGTCTTGATGGTTGGCTTATGTGTTGTCATTGTTGTTGTTGCCTTTGCATGTCAGTCGGGTGATATTTGAAAAGGTATCGAAGTACACAGCAGAATATGAGCCAATACTCAGAGAGCGAATTTGCCATATTAGTTTGCTGAGTTTCCCCCAGCTTTGTTGTGTTTACTTGTATAGATGTGATTAGGAGGTTTGTGCTCCTTATTACCATAATGTCACTGAGATAAATAGCGTTGGGAGTGCTGGATTAAGAGTCATCTGTGGTTGAAAGGCCGGAGGATTACACGGATGCTATACTGGGGTTGACTTGTGTGTGTCTGTATACTTAAAGCCATCTGTTTGTCCATGTGAAAATGGACGTGTCCTTATATCCACACACGTGTGTACTACAGACATAACAAAGATATGTTTGAGGTCATTTACGAACATTGTTCCCATTATGTGGTTTGTCCAGCAGAGAACACTGACAAGTTTATTTTTGAACAGTAAAGTGGTCCACTAGGGACATATTGTGATCATACATCTTTCAAAATAAAATTGATTAAATCCTTATCAAAAACGTTTAATATACCTCTTTTTATGTCCTAGAGCACCACTGTCAGCAGATCATGGCACAGATGTAACTCGCATCTTTTAAAACGTCTAGGTGTAATATTGAAATGTTTTGTAGTGTCATGCCAGTATTTGTATACAGTGGAGAGTTACCCTCTGTTTATTCCTAACTCCACAGCCTTGGAGGCAGACAGCAGATGGCAGAGACTAATTGTCACAGGCCAGACACAGAACTAATAACGGTACCAATTATAGAGGAGAGTGAACGCACTGCTCCCAAAGCCATAGATTTATTATGAGCGTGTGTGCAAATATAACTATGGTACTGTACTCTTTGAATTATGGTTCTCTTTCATTTAAATTCATGACTGTCTTTAGAAAGTTCCTAAATGCACCTCAGACAAATGTGTTTTGGTGTTTTGGTGGCTCTCTTCGGTTGTGCTTGGTGAGTCTGGAGTGGAGCTGGCTTCATCTGGTCTTGCAGGTCTAGAGTGGGGAAGGTCCCTCTGTGTCATCCCCAGGTGTGTGTACGCACATGTCATTGTGTACATGTGAGTTAGTTAGGGTAGTTTTCTAAGTATGTGCATGCCCACCTGTGATTGAAGTGACACAGTATCTGCTGCTACAGCTGTCTGTCCTTAAACCAGCCTCTGTTATTGGACACATTAAAAGTATTTTCACTGTCACCAGAGCTCCATAGGCAATCATGGTTATGCCCTATTTGGATTTGTTTGACATCTGGATGAGAATTTATCTTTTGCAACTGGTATTTTTGTGCATAGTTTTCTGCCCTCAAACCACCACACGAGGCAGTCTTTGGGAAACCAAATGTTAACTAGAACTGCAAGCAGTTATAAGTGGGGTCCAAGCCTCCCGGCACAAGCCGCCCCCCCTGGCCCCGCGGAGGGCGCGCGAGTCGGCCTGGGTGCCCCGCTGCAGCTTGGGGAACCTGTGGAGAATAAATGAGCAGAGTTATAAATGAAAGGGGCTTGCGGTCACGGAGATGTGAAATTAATGTATGTCTATGGGAGTGTTATTTTATTTCCAAGTAGTAGCGCCACATAGAGGCCGATCGACGCCAAATTTCATACAGCCCCTCAGGAGGGCATGCCAAATAAGGTCCCTGAGTTTGGTGTAGATCGGACATTGCAAAGTTAAGATGTGACATGACGTCCTGTTTTTAGCGTTTGCGCAGATTTTTGTTAGCTTGTAATTGGGACATTTTTTGTCGGATCAAAATTCCCTTTACAAACCTCGTTCGGCTTGGTCCAGAGATGGTCCGTGCCAAGTTTAATGTCGATCGGACTTGCGGCTTCGGAGGAGTTAATTAAAATAGGTTTTCCAGTTTTCGCGATTTAGCGAAACAAAATTGTCATCGCACAGAGGCGTGTCATATACCATTGGAATCCGCAGCATCCCCCAAACACATGGACGTAAGTAGGTTTACGAATGTACCATGTGGTGGGCCGTAGTTATGAGGCAAAATGTCGTTTGGTTGAAAATCCCATTGAAATGAATGGGGTATTTGAGCTTCGATTATAGCGCCAGCTTTAGTCTGAATTGCACATATGCATATGACGTAATTTCCTGTTAGTAGCGTTTTTCGCAAACATTTGTTAGCATATAATTGCGACATTTTTTGTCGGATCAAAATTTCCTGTACAAACTTTCATCAGCTTGGTCCAGAGATTATCCGTGCCGAGTTTGGTGTCGATTGGACTTGCGGCTTCGGAGGAGTTAATTAAAATAGGTTCCCAGCTGCTTCGCTGGTACTGGGAACCGTGATGCCTTGCATTCGCGGGTTCCCAGCCCACTCAGGCTTGGACCCCTAATTATTTTCTATTTTGGTAGGTGATTGCACTAATTAGTTTTTTCTGTTGTTACGTATTTGTCTGCCTCTGTTTTCAACAGACTGTGAAATGATAAACAGTTGTAAAGAGACTGACATACCCCCGCTATTGAATTAACTGTGAGCCAAAGCAAAGCACCCAGATGGTCCATGTGTATCTTTTACCCCTTGAGTTCTGTCTGTTACCACACATCGCATACAGTCTCTGTGTGTTACAGAGTGAAGAAGCCAAGTTATATGTGTGTTGGTGTGTTTGGAAAGAGGTCTTATGGATTGTAAATTCTTTACTGTCAGAGCTGTTTTAATAGTAAACATTTACATTGTAAATTACAGGCTCCATCAACAACAATTCTTTGTATAAGCACACACAACACACCGTAGTTTGTTAGTCTATAAAATTCATATAGCTCTTGTTCAGCGACACTTTGCTTCATACAATTGTGAAAAGATTTCTGAAATGCATTAGTGAACTGGAAGTATTTACCTCCATATATTACTGATAATTTACATAAGCAAGTCTATCTGTGTGATATAGCCTGACTAAGTAAAAGATAAATATAGCGTAGTGTAAATTGCCAGGTTACTTTGCAGAAAAGAGACAATGTTGTTAAATGTGATCTTTCTCATGCAACACTAAAAGGATGTGAGTTTGTGGCTCCAAATTCAGAAAACTAAAACATGTAACGTAAACATGTATGTCTTGCCAAACTCAAAATATAATACAATTCAGTAAATGGTGTGAAAGTATTTTTACATAGCTAAGAAAATGTACATAGATTACAGAAACATTTACTTATCACTTAAAAAAGTGAAACTAGTTTAAAAGACTGTGAGGCTGACCCCTTCCTTTTAAAGGTTCAGTGGGTAAGTTTTAGTGGCATCTAGTGGTGAGGGTTGCAAAGAAATGGTCACCACTCACCCCTCCCTTTGCAAGCGCGTAGGAGAATCTACGGTGTCCGTCTCGCTCTGTCGGCTCTTGTGCTAAATAATACGTGTGGAAGTTTGTCCGTTTGGGCTACTGTGGAAACATGACGGCGCAACATGGTGATGTCCATGGAAGGGGGACCTGTGGTTATGTAGACAGAAATGTCTCATTCTAAGGTAATAAAAACATAACGGTTCATTATGTAAGGTCTTTATACACCACTGAAAATATAGTAGTGTATATTATATTGGATTTCTGTCAATAGATCATCCTAAATATTACACACTGGACCTTTAATACAGACAGGAATGTTCAACTGCTGTGCTTTCTGGATTTTCAGCCCTTTTCTGGTTAATGGCTATTTTATGTTTGAATGGTGGCACATGTGTAAATGTCACCCTGGCCTTTACTGGGGACCTAAAAGAAAACACTCTGTAACTAATCATTTCTGATTTTGTCAAGGTGACTCTGTGTGTTTCTGTCACATACTGTAACTCTCTCTTTGTCTACCTACAGACCTGTGCAGTGCATCAGGGCCCAAACCCCTCAAACCCCAGAGATCCCTTCCAGGGACGCCTGTTTCTCTCACACACCATCCAATTGACCTGCGAACATCTATGGAGGAAAAGTACAAAGAGATTGCTGAGGTAAAAAATTCAAAGCCACACAGACAAACTCTCAGAAACACTACGATACATGATTACATTATACATTTTAGACACAGCTAATCAAAATAACTATTCACTTTTGATTAGCACCCATGCACCAGTTTTCCAGCCATTCAGTTATTTAATGAGCTATTACTGACATTTGTTTGAATTTGGAATAGTTGTGAAAATACATCTTTGAATCCTTAATAGTTAATAGTTCACCAATTAACCACTGTGTATTGTTGGTGCAGCTTTTGCCTTTGGCCTTTTGTTGAATGAGTCATCATGTAATAATACTGCCTGCCTCTAAAATAAGGCTCAAGAATCATACCATAAAAGTGTGCATAAACAAACTTCTTATTTTGAATCCCAGCACTTTCTGGCTTTATGTGAAGGTAAATGTAACCAGAGGTGTTGTGTGAGCCTCAGAGTCTGCCACATGACCATTGGTGAATTAGCGATTGACCTGTTTTCTTGTTTTACAACACCATAAATGTATAACTCATGTTTGCACAAGGAGCTGTTCACACGCAGCATGGCTGAGAGCGAGATGCGAAGCGCTCCTTATGAGTTCCCGGAGGACAGCCCCATTGAACAGCTGGAAGAGCGACGGCACCGCCTAGAGAGGCAAATCAGCCAAGACATTAAGTGAGGAAATGCAACACACACACACACAGTCAAATAAACTCTCAGACAGACACAGCTCTCCATTGCCCCCACCTTTTACACACAGTCTTGCTTTCAACCCGTGCACACATGCTTATCAGCTTCCAACATGCCTGTTTGCAGGCTAACTAACCCTAGCTAAGTGGGCTAGCCAGCAGTTGGCACCTGTCCTGGTGTTCAGTCTTCTTCTTCACAAACTTTTATAAGGAGGTGGGTTCTGTATTGGTTGCCAGGTTTGATGCTATATGCTCCACTAAGCTGATCATTTGGGTGGTTATCTGACACAACCCCTGCAAGCCCCTGTTTATCAATTGATCACTTAATACCTAATAGGCTTTGTGTGTATATGTATGTATGTGTGAGTGTTTGAGAGTGCTTGTTTGAGTGTGTGTGCGCGCTTGTGCATATATTTGGTCTCTCTCCCTTTTGTGTGCTTAATTTCTTCTCACTACCTCTGATGCCCATCTGCCCCTTCCCCTGCTGCCTTGCCTACACTATCCTGCCCCGCTGTATATCACCCCAAGGCTTGAGCCAGAGATCTTGCTCCGCGCCAAACAGGACTTCATGAAAATCGACAGTGCGACAGACCTAGAGTGAGTGAGCTCTGCTTCAGTATGCATGTTTTATGTAGTGATTTTACTTTTTGGTTGTTTATTTTCTTTTAATTCATCCCTATATAGTGTGCCTGCACTCTTAGAAATGTGCATGATAAACTACGTACTTGACTATTGTAGTATTAGTCAATACCATCCTATGAAAGTTGAGGTCAAGGGCAACTGGACTTGATTGAAGACATCTTCAACCAAGTTGCCCTTGACTTCAGCCTTCGTTGGATAACTATGACATGAATGACTGAGAGCCTTCACAGATATTAGTCAATACCACACACTTATCGGTGTCTAGTGTGCAGTATTTAGGAACTCTGAACTGGTGGAAGTACTTTTCTCCAGAACCACTGACAGAGATAATCGGCATATTGGAGATGGACCACATCTTCCCCCTGCTGGTGACTTGATACATGTACAAATGGGTACCTTTTGTCTCTCAAGTGTGAAAGTCTGCGGCTGTAAGTTAACTATTGGAGTTTATTATGTAGATGCATTGACATCTTAATGCTACCCCTGAAGAGAACTCATGCATCTTTTTTTTTCAGTGTGCAAGGTTTGCAGGAAAACAATGGGCTCACCAAGACCCCAAGAACTAAACCACTGAAATCCTGCGGAGAGACTTGAAGATTGCTGTTCACTAATGTTCTGCATGCAATCTGTCAGTGGCCTTAAATAATGACAGAATACAAACTCTCAACCTTAATGTGTGCAGAACTGCCAAATCCAAGAAGGTTGCAATCACAGCTTTTAATGTGTCTACAAAATACTGAATGAGGGTCTGAATGTATATGTAAATGAGAAAAATAATTTTTTTGTGTGTTTTAAAGAAAATAACATTGTTAACGGAGTGTGTTGATTAAAGTGTAGGGGTCAGAATACTTTACAAACTCATTGTTTCAAACAATAAACTGCACTAATTTCTGATGTTGCCATTACAACTTAATAAAATCACTGATTCTCTTCATTTACTTTAATGCCACTCTTCCTGTTTATATCCACATGTACCCTCATCGGTCCTGCCTCTGCATACCTTTCTCTTGTTTTTATAGTCTCCTTTTCTCTGTCTCTATCCTTTTAAGGATAATGAAGGAGAAGAGTGTGGACTTCTTTGATGGTGCCTTTAAGGAGAGGGCATTGCCAATGGAGAGAGAGTACCAGCGGGTCTCAATATCTGGAGAGGAAAAGTGTGGGGTGAGGAGCTTTTTTTTAATGTGCTGTGCTTGTGTGTTTTCATCATCACATTTAAACCTAAACTCCAGTAAGTTCAATTTCATCCATTTTCTTTACTGTCGGTCTGCCAGGTGCCCTTCACCGACCTCGTAGATGCTGCGAAGTGTGTGGTGAAGGCATTATTCATTCGGGAGAAGTATATAAATCGATCTATGCAGAGTTTTTGTAAGACCACAGCTCACGCCCTGCAGGAGCTTGGGATGAAGCCGCTGGATCTGAGAGTCTATGATGATATACCAGAGACCCCTGTAGATGCTGGTATGACATGCACACACACCACACATATACTATGTGTCTAAAGTTGGGAAGAACTAGCAGTTAGAAAGTGTACATCAGAAAGGATAGAACACATGGTGGAGGCAACACATTCTTCTGTCCTGTTGCCCATTATTATATATAACATACCAGGAATTATTGAAAAATTAATATCAGCTATTATGGTAATTGATTAATCATTTGACAAATTTTTCAAGCAAAATGCCAAAAAAATTTCTTGTCCTAGCTTCTCAAATGTGAGGATTTTCTTTGTTTTATACGATCAAAACAACTCTCTTTTATTGTCATTAAGGCTAGGGTTGGCAACCAGCAAGAGACAGCTAGATTTTAAAAGCATCAAAATAAAAAAATCACACACCCCTCCCTTCAGGCCTGTCATCAAATCCAGTCCTCAAAACACATTTTCTTACAGGTAGAGTGCGGGCACTTAGGCTGGTTGGTAGGTAGGACCGTGCTTATTATAGCCCAGCCACATCTACAACTTCCGGATTTTTTTATTTTTTGTGTCGAAGAGTTTGATTTATTGATTGCTGTCGGGATGTTAAGAGAATTTCAACAAATTTAACAAAAAAATGCTTCTGGAATAATATAATAATAATAATAATAGAAACTGTGGTCACCTGAGACTGCTATGTAATAAAAGCTTCTATGCTTTGTCTCTTTTTATCTGAGCAATAATCGTGTCATTGTTTATCATTTTAATAAGTATAGCATGGATGAAATAACTTTTATTAATATCAATTTCTTGTTTTCCCAGATGCCCCTGTCCACCCACCTGTTTCAGAGACACACCCCTATGACAATCAAGACCCCAAAAATATGCCGGCAGACACGGGATATGGTTGCCAGATGGTGGATGGAGTGGTCCATGTCTACACCAAGAACAACAACATGGACAAGTATGCGTTTGTACATGTAGAGTGACATTTCAAATATGAAAATAAAAAGGTAATCTGTTCATATAACTTTTATACTGTTCTTTTTCAGAGGTTCAGAACTGGACCTGCCCTACCCTGACCTGAAGGAGTATATTGCAGACATGAACGTTATGATGGCGCTCATTATCAATGGGCCAGTGTGAGTGTTTCATTGACACCATGGTTATACAAATGTCATTGTTTTGAAGCTCAGTGCTTATTCTAAATTAAATCTGTTTCCTCTGTATACAGGAAGTCTTTCTGCTACCGCCGCCTACAATACCTGAGCTCTAAATTCCAGATGCACATCCTCCTGAATGAGATGAAGGAGTTGGCAGCTCAGAAGAAAGTTCCACACAGAGACTTCTACAACATACGAAAGGCAAGAGCCAACAAATGGCAGCTGTTGAGTCACCACTTTTTTCATAACATCCTGTTGGCTCTGTACCTGAGCTGTTGTTAGTTGACAACATTCCTACATTCCAAATGGGAATAAATGATTTAACTTCATTGTTAATATCATTGTCATGATCTGCCTCGCACATATTCTGCTCTGTCGTAACTCCAGGTGGACACACACATACATGCATCATCCTGCATGAATCAGAAGCACCTGCTGCGATTCATCAAGAGAGCCATGAAGAAATACCCTGGGGAGATCGTTCACATTGAACGCGGCCGCGGTCAGACCCTCAAAGATGTGTTTGAGAGCATGAACCTCACAGCCTTTGACCTGAGCGTAGACACCCTTGACATGCATGCGGTAAGAAATGAGAGCAGCAGGAAGTAGTATCTTAATAAAAAAATATTTTGAGACATGCTGTACAAAGGGACACTTCATAATACATTTGGTATAGATAAAAATGAGGTTTGACTGGTTTTGTTTTTTTATCAGGACCGTAACACGTTCCATCGGTTTGACAAATTCAACGCCAAATACAACCCCATTGGAGAATCCATCCTCAGAGAGATCTTCATCAAGACCGACAACTACATTGAAGGAAAATACTTTGCACACATAATCAAGGTGTGAAATCATTTCATATGTAACGCATATCTGTGCCTCGTCCAAATATAATTTGTCAATACATGCACAAACCGATACATCAATCTCCCTCTGTCACTGTTTTTCCAGGAGGTGATGTTTGATCTGGAGGAAAGTAAGTACCAGAACTCTGAGCTGCGTCTGTCAATCTATGGTCGCTCACGAGACGAATGGGATAAGCTGGCTCAGTGGGCCGTGAAACATCGAGTGTACTCTGATAATGTGCGCTGGCTTATCCAGGTGCCCCGTCTTTTGTAAGTACTCCCCTTAACTTGCTTTACCTTGAAGCTGACGTGCAACATTTAGCCTCTAGACTTTAGATTGGTGAGCATAAACACATGGTTGTAGTAAGAGCATGAGCCAAAAGGAATTAATTTGTCTGATGCATCATCATACACTTCATGGATTCAGCTTTCTAAAAGCTACTATATCTCTAGTGTAGACATGGGTTATGGCTTTTAGTCACTACAATGAAGCCTACATTTTAAGAGTTATCGTTTTTACAAAACTAATCAATAATCATCTCTATGATTCCCACAAATGCCACTATTCAACCACCACCTCAACAGCGATGTGTACCACACAAAGAAGCAGCTGGCTAATTTCCAGGAGATGTTGGAGAATATCTTCATGCCTCTGTTTGAGGCCACAATCAACCCCCGCAGTCATCCAGAACTGCACCTCTTCCTGGAGCATGTGAGTATCACTTTACAAGATACCCAGGCTATTCTGATGACTCACTCTTAAAGAGACTTAGTGATTGTTGCTCTGTTTATGTTTGTTTATTGCATGTGTGTTGGTAGGTGGTGGGCTTCGACAGCGTGGACGATGAATCTAAACCTGAGCACCACATTTTCAATCTCGACAGCCCGCTGCCAGCCAACTGGACAGAAGAAAACAACCCACCCTACTCCTACTACCTCTACTACACCTATGCCAACATGACTGTGCTCAACCACCTGCGAAGGTACACACGTTCATGACAAACAAGCATCATTGATGCTCACTTCCATTCGATTAAACACATAATCAGTCACAAAACAACACAAGGTACACAATGTTTTAATGTTCGTGAAAACATTTGTCTAATTCAGGCGGCGAGGCTTTCATTCGTTTGTGCTGCGACCTCACTGTGGGGAGGCTGGGCCGATCCACCACCTGGTGTCAGGTTTCATGTTATCAGAGAACATCTCCCATGGGCTGCTGCTCAGAAAGGTCAGGACAGAGTACACTGGACTGTTTCCAAGAAAACTGCAACGGAAATGTTTTATTTTGCCATGTTGAAATAACATTGTTACAAATGCCGGCTGTGTTCTAAAATTAATTTTGAAAATTGTCTAAAAGAGTTACTGTTTGTTCAATGTTTGACTGTTCAATTTATTCATCCATAAAAACATGGAAATTGCAGCCCTCCCATCCTAATCAACCAATGATGGTGTAAAGAATCTAGAAGAAGAAGACTAAGATGTACTCGTAGCTTGCAGCTATGCTTACTGGTTTGTCTCTCTCTGTCTTTGTCTCTCATGCTCTCTCTCTGTATGTGATATCCATCAGGCCCCGGTGTTGCAGTATCTTTACTACCTGGCTCAAATTGGCATCGCCATGTCACCACTAAGTAACAACAGCCTGTTCCTCAGTTACCATCGCAACCCGCTGCCGGAGTACCTGTCCAGAGGCCTCATGGTCTCCCTGTCCACTGATGATCCTCTTCAGTTCCACTTCACCAAGGTCAGTGTGAAGGAAGTTTGTCTGAATCTACACATGTGCTGCATTTAAGGAACAAAATGCAAAAGATGACCAGAAGTGATCAGGCTGAGATGACATTTTTCTGTGTGTGTGTTTGTCTGGGCCCAGGAGCCTCTGATGGAGGAGTACAGCATTGCTACTCAGGTGTGGAAGCTAAGTTCCTGTGACATGTGTGAGCTGGCAAGAAACAGTGTCCTCATGAGTGGGTTTTCACACAAGGTAAACAAGTCTTCTCATTTTGTGTATTTAATCAGGTGACATACCCTTGGTGGCTACTTTATTGTATTATGTGTAAATACAATTATATGTTTATTACTCAGTTTTTTGTGTCAGATATTGTGCTTCCTTCTGGGTTTTGCTTGTATCTGAGCTTCTCACTCATATAGCTTCTCCTACTTCCAGGCCAAAAGCTATTGGCTGGGTCCCAATTATTCCAAGGAGGGTCCCGTGAGTAATGACATCCGTCGTACCAACGTCCCTGATATCCGTGTGGCATACCGCAGCGAGACGCTCTCTGAGGAGCTTCAACTCATCACTCATGCTGTGCGCACTGAAGAGCTGGACATTATCGATGAGGAGGACTCTCTGTCCATGGCCCCGCTCCCGGGACAGCGCTGAAATCGCAAAGACCAGGACTTGTCCTGTAAATCCCCGACCCTGTGGCCCCACCCAGCATGACACTGAAGAGACGTGGGGTGATAGTAACTCTGTCGTTCATCCTATATACAGCATAAACACCGCCAACCATCACTATAGAAGTATGCCGCACACTGACAGCTACACACCAACAAAAAGCCAAGGACACGGTTCTGCCCAGAGCAGTCCAGCTTTGACGTTGTTTCATTTAACCCAACATTATTGATTAGTTTCCAAATTTATACTCAATGTTTCTCCCAGCTCTTCTTTATAACCGCTGTGATGTGTTGAGTCTCAGTCAGCATAATGAAGATTAGCAGATGTGAGCAGCACCAGGGTTTTTTGTGATTGAAAACCAGAGAAGCAATGTTGTCTTTATTTTTCAGTCAATGCGTTTGACTCTCTATCCTGTCAGGCTAAAGCTGTCAGATCCCTGTGATTAACTCTGTTGTCCAGTTATATGTTTGAATTCACCAGAGACATTACATGGCATGTACTATCTCTGTAGTACCTGTGTACAACAAACACTTAACAACCAGCACACTGAAACTCTCATCACAGCCAACCGGCTGTGAATGATGCTTATCTTCCACTATACAATCCTGCTGCCTAACTTAAGTACATCAATCATCTTCAATATACAAACTTATGATGAAGGATTATAGATGCAGTTTTGGCGATAGAATACAGCGGGGACAACAAAGTCTGACAGGTTTCATGGGAGACATACCGTCTCATAACAAGAGATGATAACTTCCTGGAGCTGGGTGTGGTTTCAGATCATTTATTTGCCAAATTGTACACACAGAATTGTTCTTCCATGATTTGAATCCGCTCAGAAAGTTAAGATAAAAGAGAGAAACTCGCCCTCATGAGAAGCAGACATCCTGTGGTTGACTGAAAACATTCCACGAAGCAAACTGTCCTTTTTTTAGCTGCAAATGAAACAAGTTCCAGTTAGTGTTTAAAATCACCTTGGTTTGATGGTATATTTCTGTGTTAGAAGAGATATATATATATATATATATATATAGCTGAAATGTGAATTGTATAGTTTAACCACAGCACAAATACATGTGGCTGAATTCAGCATTGTCCGAGGAGAACTCCCTAACCGTTACCTCACTGTAGCCATGAAGACGTGGACCTCCTGAGGGCCCTGATTTCACTCATTCCTTCCCCTGCTGACAAACTAGAAGTTTTTTTTTCCCTTTGCATGCCGTGCACTGTACATATGCACCAAGCCAAGATTTCACAGTGCCTTTTCAGTTTTAGCTTTGAGCGTTGCGTAACCAGTTTTTGCCTTCACCTGCAACATGTATCCCATCTCTTTTCCTCCGTCATATACAGTAGGCCTCCGTGCTGTTGCAATCTCCATGCCAATGGAGCTGAAGCCACCTAGCTGCATGCTTGGTGTAAAATAGCTTTTACAGTGGCCTTCATTTGGGGAGAGAAGTTGTTCGGTTTCTAGTTCTCTACTTACAAGTGCTTTTTTTGCATGCCTGCATGAACAAGGGATGGCAGGAGAGAATGAGTTGTTTACAGCGAGCTGTAATGTGAAGCATTCTTACTGATTCAGGGCTGCCGACCAACTTTCCAGTCATACAGTAAATCTGTTTGATGTGAATATTACATAAACGGATTCAAACTATCGTTCACCATATAGAAATGAGCACACCATGCTGGGACGTGGTTAAAACTGTTGATTGGTTCTTGTAGCATTTATTGTTTAACTCGCCCCAAATCTGATCAAAGCTGGGATCACATTTCATATTGCACCCTCATTGTGTTACCACATCCTGCCACTGGACACGGTCCAACTTTCCATCAAACTGTGATAACTCTTCTTAAACCTAGATGCTACTGTCGAGTAATATTTGATGATGGGGAGAGTGAATCAGAAAATGTCAGCCTTTATTTGAATAAACAACTACATTGTATTAAAATATATATATATATATATATATATATATATATATATATATATATATATATATATATATATATATATATATATATATATATATATAATGTGTGTGTGTGTGTGCTTTATAGATTATTAGGATAACAGATGAGAAGCCATCTTAGTTCAGCAAGAATACAGTAGCTTGTTCAGCAGATGCACCTGAGTTGTGCAAACACGAACATGGTGAAATGTGTTTGTTGGATTTCATGTATAAAGTGTATTTTTTTAAAGGCGATATAGAGATAAGAAATTTTATATTCACAATATATTGATTTTCATGGTTTAACACATTGTTGCTGTTGGTCATTGTGAATTGGCATTATGTCATGAACATAGTTTTTATTGCAGTTAGCCTTTTTAAAGCTAGTGAGCTAGCGAGTGCAGGACTTTGACATATAAATGAACGTCCGTTACATCCAAGCCCTCAACAAACGGGTTCACACACTGCTGATTAAGCCAATAACTGCCAGATAAATCGCACTGTCTCGCAGTATACCAGATTTTTTTTAAACCTGATGTGTGTAGCGACTCTGGCGCACTGGTAGTGATGAGTTTTATGCCAATAAGCAATGATTGGTTTGAAAGAGCTGAAAGGGGCAGTAGCAACTCAAAATGGCAGAGCCTATATGTCATCAGCGCATGTTGAAAGTGCTGTTTATTTACTCTCATTGTCAGAAGGGGGAGACAAAAGTCCCGCACCGCAGGTTTAAATTGTTAATTGGACATTTTAGTGTCTGTTCCATTTTTTCCTCATACTTTGTTTTTTATTCCTGATTATTCTTAGTTCATTTATTATTGTACATCTATTCCGCCCATGATAGATACCTCTTACTTTAAAGCTTAAAGTTATCGCTATAGTCAGAAACTGACCTCTAAACACACAAATAGTAATCCTAAATTTTATGTCACATCAATAGAGTTGGCTTTTTCTGTTTTCTTTTTGACTGATTTCACCAACTGATCTACACTGACTTGTTCATATCTGTCTGATAGAATCAGTCCACAGATTGAAGCATGAAATATAGTTACGTCTAATTATTGCAGCTTAATTTTATTATTGGCCTTTCCTTGGTTCAGTGTATAACAACCAGCTTGCTGACTACTTAGTAACATTTTGCAAGGTATTATGGTAATAAGTGTTTAATGACAACATCCCCTGTGCTGTGGTATGTTGTCTCTGAGACAGAGAGTTAGAATCTGGACTGACTTGAACCTTTTCCATCCATTCAGCTTATTGTGTATTTACGTCCACTTCATGGTTTCATGTTGTGTTTTACAGTCACCCCAACATAGTGCATCCTACCTCACAAATACTTATCTCTCTGACAAGTGTCGAGCTGCTGCTCTACGTCTCAGCTAATGATTGATCTAATGACTATTTTTATGATCAACTGTTTGGTTTATAAAATACCAGAAAATATATTGATATTTTCAAATTCAGTCCAGGAACAGAAAATATTTGCGCGAATATGATGGATGACAAAGAAAAAGCAAAAAGTTCGACAATATTTTGGTCAGTTTTTGTTTTTGTCCATCAACTAATCGATTAATATTGATTAATTCCAGTAAATAACTGCACATTAGAAGTGCTTCACTAGAGATAGAACAGCTGAGGCCATTAAAGACATTGTGATTATTTGGATGCCAACACTAAATAATATTAAATTCCTTATATATACTATATTCACATATATCTAGTTCAGTTTCTGTAGTTAAGACGCTGAAATTGATTTTGTTCTGTTTGCTAACTTCACAGCACATTCATAGTAGTATGCTGATATTCATACGCAATATTTTTTTGTTCAGCTGATATTTTTGTCATAAGGTATCTTTGTTTTTACACAGTCTTGTTACTTTATTTGACATTTGATTTATATTTTAAATTTTGCCTTATTTTATCTCCATTGATCTGTAGCCATATTATTGCCTGAAGTGGATTGCCAGTATTTAATGCATTCAGATGCTTCTGATATAAAGGTTCACGTGTAATGTCTGAACAATAAAATAAAGCATGTTTATTCACTAAACCTTTGTATGTGTGTCAGTTGTGACTTTTATTTACAGGTTCCATAATGACCACATAGATTAGGCTTTTTGCTCATCCCATCATTTGTTACATACAGTGAGGAAAATAAGTATTTGAACACCCTGCTATTTTGCAAGTTCTCCCACTTAGAAATCATGGAGGGGTCTGAAATTGTCATCGTAGGTGCATGTCCACTGTGAGAGACATAATCTAAAAAAAAAATCCAGAAATCACAATGTATGATTTTTTTAACTATTTGTATGATACAGCTGCAAATAAGTATTTGAACACCTGAGAAAATCAATGTTAATATTTGGTACAGTAGCCTTTGTTTGCAATTACAGAGGTCAAACGTTTCCTGTAGTTTTTCACCAGGTTTGCACACACTGCAGGAGGGATTTTGGCCCACTCCTCCACACAGATCTTCTCTAGATCAGTCAGGTTTCTGGGCTGTCGCTGAGAAACACGGAGTTTGAGCTCCCTCCAAAGATTCTCTATTGGGTTTAGGTCTGGAGACTGGCTAGGCCACGCCAGAACCTTGATATGCTTCTTACAGAGCCACTCCTTGGTTATCCTGGCTGTGTGCTTCGGGTCATTGTCATGTTGGAAGACCCGGCCTCGACCCATCTTCAATGCTCTAACTGAGGGAAGGAGGTTGTTCCCCAAAATCTCACAATACATGGCCCCGGTCATCCTCTCCTTAATACAGTGCAGTCGCCCTGTCCCATGTGCAGAAAAACACCCCCAAAGCATGATGCTACCACCCCCATGCTTCACATTAGGGATGGTGTTCTTGGGATGGTACTCATCATTCTTCTTCCTCCAAACACGTTTAGTGGAATTATGACCAAAAAGTTCTATTTTGGTCTCATCTGACCACATGACTTTCTCCCATGAGTCCTCTGGATCATCCAAATGGTCATTGGCAAACTTAAGATGGGCCTTGACATGTGCTGGTTTAAGCAGGGGAACCTTCCGTGCCATGCATGATTTCAAACCATGACGTCTTACTGTATTACCAACATCAACCTTGGAAACGGTGGTCCCAGCTCTTTTCAGGTCATTGACCAGCTCCTCCCGTGTAGTTCTGGGCTGATTTCTCACCTTTCTTAGGATCATTGAGACCCCACGAGGTGAGATCTTGCATGGAGCCCCAGTCCGAGGGAGATTGACAGTCATGTTTAGCTTCTTCCATTTTCTAATGATTGCTCCAACAGTGGACCTTTTTTCACCAGGCTGCTTGGCAATTTCCCCGTAGCCCTTTCCAGCCTTGTGGAGGTGTACAATTTTGTCTCTAGTGTCTTTGGACAGCTCTTTGGTCTTGGCCATGTTAGTAGTTGGATTCTTACTGATTGTATGGGGTGGACAGGTGTCTTTATGCAGCTAACAACCTCAAACAGGTGCATCTAATTTAGGATAATAAACGGAGTGGAGGTGGACATTTTGAAGGCAGACTAACAGGTCTTTGAGAGTCAGAATTCTAGCTGATAGACAGGTGTTCAAATACTTATTTGCAGCTGTATCATACAAATAAATAGTTAAAAAATCATACATTGTGATTTCTGGATTTTTTTTTTTAGATTATGTCTCTCACAGTGGACATGCACCCACGATGACAATTTCAGACCCCTCCATGATTTCTAAGTGGGAGAACTTGCAAAAGAGCAGGGTGTTCAAATGCTTATTTTCCTCACTGTAATTCAGACTTTAATGTTAATGTGACTTACTACACATCATGAGCATAATATTGGATAAATGATCTAAATGCACTTCAATGTACACTTCATCGGATAACTTGGCAACTGATTACAAGCTGTAAACCTAATCTCATTTATTATTATCATTTAATACTATCTGAGAGCTTATAGTATTGGGCTGTTGGTGACTTGTTTTGGTCCACGATGATGTTCTTGATCTTCCTCTGTGACGTTCTCTTGCTGCATTGTTGGTCCCATTTAAATGGCAGCCTGCAGCAATGACACATAAAACAGTCAGAGGGGTGCCTGTGTTTACACTCATCAATGTGATAATAAATCTGCATTCATCAGTGTGATGATAATAAATAGTGCAGACAAATTAAGCCGCAGTGTGGTCTGTCACTTACAGCTATGGCGGACTTGACTGCTTGTAACTGGAAGAAGACTCGCCCCCCTTCCTCTGGACACACCGTCTTCAGCTCCTCTCTGGTCAACCCCAGCAGCATAGGGCCGCTCAGCACGCCCAGACAGCGTACAGTGCTGCAAGGGAAGAGTCATAAAGATCTGTTTTATAATCGATGCTGAGGTTCACTTTTTTTAGTTTCCACTGAAGTTCAACTGAAAAAAAAACTTGGGCACTCACATTTTTTGTTTTCTAAAAATTGTAAAACTCAAAGCAGCAGAAGCCAAAATATTCTGACTTGTAGTCTCCAAAAACACTGGATCCTACATTTCCCATAATGCAACTCAATCATGTCATTGGACACCACCTCCACCCTAAATGCCCACTTCTTTCCAACCCCACACCACCAATTTCTAATACAGGCTTTCTGTTCAAAGATTTGAGTCCAGACCTAGCTCAGATAAAATAACCCTGACATCATCAGGGCCAGTCATATATGTACATACATCATTAAAGGCTGATATTAGATAGTAGTAATAATATAATAAAATATAATTTTGGTAAATGACTAAGCTTCATAGATTTTATCAAGTTAAATGCATTAATCAAATCTAGCTTCCATTGCATATATTATTTTAGTGCTACATTTATTTACTGTGTGTACTTACATTTTACTAAAGCCCTTGTCTTCGAGCCAGGCTTTCACTTCTGCAGGCTTGGACTTTTTCGTTAGGACAGGAGAACCACTAGTTTGCTGAGAAAATGGAATGATAATGACTTTACTAAAATGTAAGGATGGATATTACACAAAGGACACAGTCTGCCTTACAGTTTTTCTCAGTCGCTTTAGAAAATTTCTCAGATCAGAATTGAAACTCTCAAAACTACTTGTTCAACCTCCACATCATCTCGTCACTTGTGCACATCGTGAAAGCAAATCCTCATTGTTTTGAACAAATTGCAAATGCTTTGACACATCGATGCAACCAATTATGTACAATTGTCTGTTGTTTCCTTCACTATCAATTGCTTATGTCATGTTGATCACCATGTATTATACCAGTTCTCTGTTGAATAGTCTTACCCCCCAAAACATCTAGGCATAAGTTCATTGCATAAGTCGATACATGCAAAATGGCTAAACACGTTGTCAAAATCAAAGTTAAATAAAGTCAAACTTTATTGTCATTTTTATTTTTACAGCTAAATGAAATGTTGTTTCTTACAGACCATGGTGCATAAACAAACTAAGAATAGACAACAACAAATCACAACATACTACAGCAGCAACACAGCCCTCAGACCATTCACCCAATACCATACACTGTGAACAGTAACAATACACAGTGAGCAGTGAATAGTAGATGATGAAATTTATGAAGATATCCATTGTGATGTGGATTAGAATCTGTGACCTCACAGACAGCAACATCAGCCTAAGGTTTACATTTCTAATTTTGTCAATTGTGCTATGGAGTACTGTAAAAACGTCTTGTCTTTTTCTTTTCTGCATCACAATGACATGGTCTGTAAACAAATTACAGTACAAACAGTAAAAACTAACTGTGAATCCTGTCCAATCTCTTGCAATGTATAACTTTATACTGCTGAAACAGATATGCCATATTGAAAAAGTGCAGCCTTGTGCATTTTCAATCATTCTCATAAAAACGTTAGCCATAGTTTACATCAGAAAACACAGTTTTAGTAAGTACACAGTTATATTGATAACATGACTAAACATTTTCACTATCTTGTTTGTAAACAATGACACAAGGACGTTCCTCATTCTGATGGCACTGACATGTTCAATGACATAAAGATTTGCTTTGATTTTGAGCAAGTTACGGGCTTTTGCAGGTAATCCAGTGTGTTGTGCTGTTTGTTCAATATGTTTCGAGAAATGTGCTCACTCTTTTGCAAATGTTAGGGATGATTTGAGAAGTGTACCAAAGGGAGTGAGAAAAACTGTAATACACAGTGTCACAGAGTTTTCACTTGGTTTGCAAATGATGCAGCTTAAATAAAGTTCACAAACATACTGAATGAGTCACATATTGTAATCACTGATCATTTATGCATTCTTTTGCTGCAGTGGAGACTTTTCCGCTGCGATTTAATCAGGTAAATGACAGTCAAAAGCTCAAAGTCACTGAGAAGGGTGACACATAATTACACATAAGCCTATTTTGTTAGTAGTACATGTTCAATTTACTGAAGTACAGTAATTGCATTGAGACTGACATCCTGTTTTTTCACCATGAAGTCTTTCCTTCACAGTAATTGCCAGTTCACCCAGTGATAGAGGTTTCTCATGATAATGAGTTCAAGTTGACCTGTGATGTGAATGGTACCAACCTCGACAAGTTGCTCGTCATGAGCCTCCAGGACATTATTGGGTACAAAGCCCTCCTCTCCGCTGCTGTTCCTCACTTTCCACCACTGTCTCGACTTGTCCAGCACCTGTTGACGGACAAAGCAAAAACTAGCCAGGGTCTTCAAGACAAAATAGTTGAAACAATACAGAAAACAGAAAGAGCAGTTGGTTCATGTCACTTACACTCACCTCAACTATTTCTCCTGTTCTGACGGTAAGCTCTCGGTGGTTTCTTGAAATGAAGTCATACACAACACGCATGGGACGCAGTTTTGATTCACCTGAGCTGAAAAACACACCAGGGCATCAAAAACATACAAGTTCGAGGTTTAAAAACACCCACAGTACATTAAGTTATACTTTACGGTCTTGTGCGTACCGTGCTTTTTGTTGGGGGCGTGAAGGTGTCCACTTGGCTGAAGTCTAAGAAAAAGTACACGGTCTGGTTATGTTTTTTCTACTTTCTCCTTCTCTCCAAGCTACCTGTCTATCAGGTTACAAAATGAGTGTTTGATGTGAAGGTTCACCTGGCTGGGTGCTGGTTGTGGACTCTCCTGTCTGCTCACAGGTTCATTGAGTTCAGGGGGCTGCCAGCCGTCAAAGAACTCCAGAGTGTATGTTGGGATGTCCTCATCGTCTTCTGGCCATTTGGTGCTGGTAATATTGTCAAAATCATAACTGATTATTAGCCTGACATGTATCAGACAGACACGACGCAGTCTCAAAGGAAAAGTACCAATGTGAAAATACAAGTAAAACCCTTGCATTCAAAATCCTAGTTAGGTAAATTTTAGCAAGATAAAATTACTATTAACAAAACAAACTAATACTATCAAAAGTAAAAGCAGTGAGCAACGTTACCAGTTTAGGTGGAGCTAGTGCGAACTACATTATAACCAGTTAAGACAGTTTAGTTCATTGGTTTCTTTTACAAAGGGTTACAAGATAAGATGATTAATGGGAGAAGAAAGAAGACAAGTTCTGATACACAAATGTATATTTTTGGGGGGACTTTTTTTGCTTTAAAAAACAACTCTCAGACATCTGAAACATTGACAAGGGGTCCCAAGTAAATATTGCTTTAATGGGTGACAAGTCAAAAAGGTTGGGAACCACTGGTTTAATCTTTAATAAGTATTTTAAAAGCTTATTGTATGGTAAATCTTCATCTAAAAGGTAACTACTCATTTCCCTCTGAAGAAAGTAGCATAAAAAGAAATACCTACTTCAAATTTGTACTTAAGTACAGTACTAGAGTAAATATGCAGGTACTTTGCCCCACTGCAGAGATGTAGTGAGATGATGTTACATTTCATGTAGAAAATAAAAGCAACAACTGATTAGGTCCAACGGTGTCCATTGTCCCACCTGGGGATGTTCCATGGGTCTCCCAGAGACTGCCAAAGCCGGTCCTCGTCTGTGGAGGCCTCATCACTCATCAGACGGATACACTGAGGCGTCAGCAGGGGCGCCACAATGGTCTGTGGCAGATCCTCAGGGCAGTGAGATACCACCTGGTGAGGAAAAGCGTATCTCAATCTGTAGCCGCGTATTTAGGCCAGGTGCAGGGACACAGATTTGGTTAAATAGGAGCAGAGGGTGTCTGCACACTGGAATGCAGCTCCCACAATGAGTTGATGAGACAATGCCGACATGATGGTCAACCAATTAAGCAACTAAATTGGATAAAATGATCCAACATTATATTCATGAATAGCTGAATTTTACGGATAATTCATAAATTATAGTAAAAGTAAGTTACACTAATTCAACAGCTGAGGGTGTAGAAAATATACATTTTAGGCTGAGCTAATCGTAGCCAACAGAACGTGACAATGCATTCTGTCAAACTGGTATATTAAGATCTATAATACTGTAGGAGCCATGAACTGATTTATTGCATGTTTGGAATTACCTGTGTATAGGTTAACTGTTTATTTGTTGTTGCACCTTTTTTGGTAAGTCATGTGGGTGGCGATTTCTGTATAGTTAATTTACACACCTGTTCAACGCCATTGAGCAGATAGATTTTTTGTTGACCGCGGTGTTCTTTATAGTTTTGAATCGTTGTGATTATTTTGAATATATGTTTTCACATTATATTAAGTTGCATATTTCCATCAATAAAAGGCATTATTTTTTGAGATGCGCGAATTATTTGTGCAGCGAGTCCGACAAACAGCACCATAAGGCCCTACCTCAGCCTCTCAGCGTTTTTAAGTATAGTCGCTACAAATACAGTATGTAATAGAATAGGGTTTTAAAAGAATTTGGATCTGATGATAAATTATAAATTTGTGTTCAGGCTAGTCAAAATCCCAACTGTTAACAATTATTCAAATGCAAGAGATTTAGTCACTTACGAATTCTAATGTGGTGAACAAGGAGTGAACAAATTCAGGAGCACTGGGATTATGAATATTTCCATTGAGCTCCCCCTGTCAAAATAAAAACATTTTCATACATAATGTGCAGCAGCAACACTGTTACACAAACTGTACACTACGGAGTGAACAGGAATAACACCAACCATGATGATATATGGTATGTAAATGTGATTAAGGACACACACCAGAAGGTTGAAACCACATTTGATCTTATGGAGACACGCTGCAAATTCTGCCGCAGGAGGCATGCCGTCCATCGCTAAAAAAATCAATACATGATGAAGCCGTCACAACTAATGATATTTCTACAATTTAAACAATCTGTCATTTAGATCCAGTCTACATGTACGGCTGCCTTCATTTTCCACATCAAATTACCTTTTCCTTTTTTCTTTTTCTTCTTTTTCTTTGCATTTTTAGCTACTATTGCAGCTACCTGTCCCATGAAGATTTCTATGTCACTTACAATATGATTCAAGATGTCCTGGAGAGAAAGAAGAAGAAAATCATTTCCACATTCTTGTTCTCTTAAATGTTACAAAACGTGTGTCCTGTTAAAGATAAACAACAACTAGCTCGCACATTTCTTGTGTGTGATTACAAAAGGACACTCACTACATTCCTGTCCAGCTCTGTGTATGCAGGAGGAGGAGACAGAGGTTCTTCTTCAGTGGTGAAATGCTGCAGCGATGGTACCTCGTCTCTGAGAGTTGAGGTCTCATCCTCCTCCTCTTCCTCAGGTACAACCAGCTGAGGCTCAGGGACTTCATCCTCCTCTATGTGTTCAAAGGAGGTTTGTATCAATTTCCATCATTAACAATCAGCACAGCAGTTGTATATGTCTTCTGTCACAGACTCACCATAGTATGGAGGCATCCATTGGGGCACTGAGTCAACTGCAGGCTTCTGCTCTTTAGGTTCAGAAGATTTTGCAATGTTATGAAGGCTGTTCATTCCCTCATGTCCATTGCTGCTTGAAAAAGTGTGAGGCATGTTAAAAACAAAAATAAAGTTTCAGGTATTTGTTCTCACTGACTATAGGTTCTTACTTAATGATTGAATCCTCTTTCCTGTGTGACAGTGCTCGTGACAGATCCTTTTGAACATAGTCAGCCTGTAAACAACAACAACAAAAAAATTACTCACTGACTTCTTTCACTGACGTCACAATAACATCCATTTCCCAGAGTTTGTACTCACCCTTACATCCTCACACTGAAACATGAAGACGGTGGTAGTGTGTTTTCTCCTGGGCTGGACTGACACTGTGAGTAGGGAGTCAAACACTCCAGCGTCCAGCACAGCCTTTAGCTCTAGGATTTCACCGAGAGCCATGGAATCGAGCTCCTCCTGAGAAAACACAACAGGTTTTTATGCACACAACAGAAAAATCAAGTCTGTGAGCTGAGTTAGAGGACCTTTGTTGTCATGGTTACAATAGCCACATGGTTAAGGTTATGGAACAAAATTAACCAATGTTCCCTTGCAAAAGGAAATGGGAAACTAACAGTGGCCTTCCGAGTTAAAGTCTGGTGTTTCTATAATAAAATCAACTGACAACCTCTTTTACTCCTGTCAGACAAGATTTCATAATTCCTACAGACGCTAGAGGGTTTTGTCTCTTGAATGTAAACATTTGCTATTTGGGGGAATTTGCTGAAATGTCTGATTTAGGAGTTTTCTTAGGAGGACAGCCTCAGATACAGAGTTGCATGTCATCTGCATACAAGTGGAAAAGATGCCACATTTGAAGATGATAGTTTCTGTGACTGGTCTTGCGAAGGATATAACATATGATTCACATAAATTTTCATTCTCATCTAATCATTCAGTGACTCTTCATGCCCTGAGTGGGGTCATTGTCACCCTGGAACATCTATTCTTCTATTTTTATTTGTCACAAGACTGAAGGTCTCATGTGCTGCTTACCTTGGTTTCATTGTCTGTGAGCAGCAGTTTAGCACCGCTCACCTCCAGCAGCATGCTCTGACCCCACACACGACCCATCCCATCCAACAGCTTCAGTCGCTCCACACAGTCAGCTATGCTTCTCAACTCCTTCCCATCCAGGTCACAAGTGAACAAGTGCTGCCGCAGAGAGGCGTTAAAACAGAACATTAAACAAGGCACGATTCAGAAAAGAGCATGTTTGTTTGGCTAATGTTATGTATGATACCTCCACTCTGTACTGCAATTTGTTCATCATCTTGTTTATTGATGCAACATACTCCTTCCTTTGCACTGTTAAAGCATAAACCAGGGCTCTGTGTTATCCATTAGATTAAACTTAACAGGCTTATTATGTCAAGTGCAGCAGTGGTAACTTACAGTAAATTGACTTGGCACTGGGCCTGGACAGATTTGACGCCTGTGATGACACCTCGTCCATAGTGGAGTAACCACTGTCACAACAAATGCAAGCAATTTACAACACTGATCATCAACAAGTCATGATTGAAAGAATTTATCAGTTAATTGATCAACCACATAAAATCATAAAATACATACGACTGGATCGATTCTGCATAGCTGCTGGTGTCATTGCCAAAGGGACTGTTTCTCCTGATCATCGTCAGTACTGACCTAGCACAGCTGCAATATTATATATGATATTAATTATACACACCATGAATGACAGCGGTATGAGCTGGCTCAGCAACCTGCATCTTAAATAAATCTAGAAAACATTTATTTCGTCGAGTCTTAAATTAAAGCTGAGTGAAAGTATCAAGTTTTGTTTTACATATGACTCATATGCATTTATATGCTCAGACAACACCTTGGTAATTAACAGTAAATCAATAAATGGCTCTTGATAATCAGCAACACAGCAACCTGTGATCAACCGGACAACGACATCTTTATAGTGTTGTTAGAATATTTCAAGAGTTTGTATATTTTAAAGACAGGTTTTCTGACTGTCTTACGCCACAAATGTATAAAACAAACTCAACATATTTCAAAAACAAATGCAGAGTGAATGGTTAGGAACATTTCACAGTAAGTAAGTCAGACATGTCTTCTATTTGTTCTAATTACATCTTTTCTCAAGATTTTTACACTATGCTGAATATTAAAGTATGTAAAATATAAAAATAAATGGAATATAAAAGGAAGTTTATGGTGATGTGGATTTTCTTCAAATTGTCTTAAATAAAGTGCAAACACGTAGCAACCCTTCTCTACAGATCATTTGTATAAATAACAAAAAGACATCCAGTTTCTTTGGAGATATATTATCAGATGTCCGTACCTTTGATGTCTGGCAGCTGAATGTTGTTACCTTCTTCTGTAGTTTTTACCCTATAGTAAAAATACAACTCATATTTTAATCCTGTACCTGAGTGAACGAGAGTTTTCACCCTTGACTTCCGTGTTAAAGCAAAAGACAAAGTCCACTGTCAGTAGCAGAACGATCTGGGATACTGAGCCGTCTCAGTTGAGGGTGTGAGATCTAGTGTGGCATCCCAGCTGAGCAAAGGTTACTAGATACGGAGGAAAACACCCAGGAAAAGCTTAATTGCTTGCAGGTCTATAAACCTATCAGCATTGTGTCATTTTTCCGGTCTATAATGTAGAGGGATTGCAAGTATTGAGTCACAATGATCCCACTCTTCTCTTTTTCCACAATGAAAACAAAAAATAGTTTGGGCCTATAGAGAAATAAGACATAAAGCTGTGTTCATTGCAGGATTGGTATTAAGAAGATAAAATCAGACAGGAATTCATCAATGACAAGAATCACACTACCAAACATTACCCAGAACAAATTGCTTAGTGATGTAATGAACACTGGGTAAACAACATGCCCATATTTAGCCCACATAGGGGAGTCATAATGTGTGTAAAATAAGATAAGAGCTTGTTTTAGAGTCATTTCATTAGTAAACAAGTAAACCAATGACTGTACAGTAATTACAATTTCTAGGTAACTGTACTTTGATATTCTCAATAATTACCTCTCCGCCCTTCCATGTGCCTATATGGAAAGCCATAAGGCAAGGAGAGCACACCTTCCTGCCCATCCATGTGCACACATGGGAAGCCCAGGTACAGAACAGAGCAGACATCAGTAACAAAAGAAATGACATTGATTAGTCAGCCACAGCCTGAAAGGGAAGGTGGGGTGGTGATGGGTTACAAGAGGTTTGCAGAGGAAGCAGCAAGAAGGGAATCAGCTGAGCTGGCAGCTGATGTGGCTGGCTTTAAGATGGGCTGCCATCAGCTGATGTGCTGGGATTGTTAGCTGAGCTTGACTTCGTTGCCTGCCTGAACTAACACTCTGCTCGATTTCTATTAAATTGAAATTACAATTGTGTAAGTGTGTAAGCCCAAGTGTCCTTGGGCAAGATACTGAACCCCGATTTGCCCCTGGCGGCTATTCCGCCAGTGTGTGAGTGAGTGTGAATGTTAGTTTCCGGTTGAGCACTTAGGCTCAGTGTATGAATGTGTATGACTGGTGAATGCAGATGTAGTGTAAAAGCGCTTTGAGTGGTCGAAAAGACTAGAAAGGCACTATACAAATACGGAGCATTTACATTTATAATATCAACGTTTGGGTTAGGCCTATATGATAATCCTTTGGTCATAATATAAAGTAGCCGGATGCGGTTCTCTTTTTCTCACTCTCTGGTAGAGGAGAAGTGTGGCAGCATCTCTGTACAGCTAATTGTTTAAAAAACATCCTCTACATCCTCTACAGGTTGTCCTTCCTATCCAGAAGGTGAACAACTATATTTGTTTTCATCCAGTATACAAGAAACACAATTCAGGTGTTTTAAACAGGAACACTGTGATTCTTATTCAACAGTTTGTTCATGAAAGGACAAAAGTTAAATAAGATTTATATTAAATGAACATGTCAAGTACGATAGTGTACAGTAACCAAGTCAATATTTATTAATACATCAATATTATTTCTTAAACCCAATTCAGTCACCATTAAATTTAAACATTTCATACTAGGTAGGTTGAGTGGGTAATTATTTTATTTCTTGCAATTCTTGTATGTAGGGTTTCCATATTGAAAAAATTATGTCAGAACAGTTCCTCTAAAATGTTTATTACACATAATGTGTCATCTCTAAAAATTGGTATGAAGTTTTAGACAAGTGTGAATAATTATCTCAATCGCTCATTAGGTGATCGGACGCACTATCACTAACTATGTACTAGGACATATCACTAATATTAATATAGGATGTATGTTAATATTAGTGAGCAGGATTGTGGTGCAGCTGCAGAATGAAGTTAAAAAGTGAGTTTAAAAAAAAAAAAAAAAAATAGGGTGTAGAGTAGAGTGAAGTCTGACCGTATTTTCACAGCATTTCAGTGACTTTGTTTAAATTTACTACATATGCTGAAGTGGCCTAAATAAAGCCACTGGATGCTGTTGATCCAGATAATGTAAAATTTAACACCTAGGCCTACGATATTTTAACTTTGATGCCTTTTTCAAGTGCAGATCACTAAACACATCTCTCTGATCTGTATGTTTTTCATCTTTGGTTGCTGGCCCCTGTATTTTGTCCCCATCAGATTAAAGCTGCGCAAATATATTTGAAATGTGATTTAGGCTAGGCTGCAGCATAATACACTGACTCTTATCAGTTGTTTAACTTTCCATTTCAGGGTTCAGGTGTGGAAAAGACCCCTGCTGTTGTTCAACTGAAACACTGGAGGTCAGCAATGCAGAGCTGCAGTCTGTCCACCTGCAGTATCACCAGTCAGTCAGCTGGAGCAGAAAATAAACAGTGTTTAGACATCCTCTCTCAACAGCTCTTTGACAGGGGATGAGGTAATAAAAGTAAATTGGAAAGCAATGCTGCATTATACACATTTAAAAATATTGCCCATAAACAGTTGTTTTTAATAATTAAAGTAACTTATAAAGTCCAATGTTATTTTGATTTTATTGATTAAATAAACAATCATAGGATAAATGCACTCTGGGCATAAAACATAATTCAGCACCCCAAAGTGCAGTGGCATCCATATTAAAACAGATCCACATTGCTGAATGTTGTCTACTTAAATGGCCTCCTGGATACAATAAATGGCTTAAAATCAAAGATGGGAATACAAAAATATCCTACAATATAAATGGAACAATAAAAACAACTGAGAACAAAACTGCAGGCCAGGTGACCCGAAAACATATACTTCTGTCAAATGGGACGACTTGTTGTCATTTGTGAAGTAATTTGAAACACTTATATACACATGCGCTCGCAGGATAGTGGGATCTCACACACTGAGGACAGCGGGACTGTTTAGCCATAATGAATGTAAGAAGAAACCAGCAATGCTTTCATTCACATGTGCCTGTATGTTGTCCCAAATATACAAAGATCATGCTGTGCTAGATGTCAAAAAAGTTTACATGAGGTCACAAGATTAAAAAAAAAAAAAAAAAAAAAAAATCACTGGGCCCTGTTTCTTGACTCTAGGAAAGTTTGGTAATCACTCACCCGTTTTAGATAAATAAGGCACGGGGCAATTTCTGTAACTCATTAACCATGTTAAATGTTCTATTGCAGCAAGCAGGACTTTGGCCCATGCAGTCTACGGTCCCTGCACACATAATGCAGAGTAATGCAGGCCTCCAGGCACTACTCTTTCTACCTACAGAAAAGCATAGTCACAGTACATTTATTCTAGAGAAAGCTGGAAAGCGTACGAATCCTACAGCATATTGTGCACACTACTAAATATGATAACACATAAGTACTTCTTTGCTAGCAGTAGGTAACCCTCAGTAGCAGTGTGAAACATAAACCGATAAATGATATAGTTCACAGTGCGGACTGCTTTACTGTGTCTGCAGAGCCTGGGTGATGCTCAGGCCTGAACCAGGGGGCAAAGCCCAGCCATCCTGGCCCTGGTGGGTCTGCAGCAGGCAGTACAGCTGCTTTAGGTGGGCCACTATGTTGTCTTTGATATCTGGGATTGAAATCTGCAGGCGAACGCTGCCGCTGTCAAAGGATCGTGTGTTGTCTCCGGAAAACATCTCGCTCAGCATGCGTGCCACCACTGGAATGATCTGCATGACAGAGGACCAGAATGAGTCACACAATCAGAGAGTCTAAACAACAAAAGAGTAAAGCTTATTGATGAGAAGAGAAATACGAGAGTTGTGTGAAAAAGGGTGTAAAGAGTTTAGTAAATGTTCAAATGAGAAGTGATATTTCTGCTTTTATATAAATTATTTTCAAAGTGTTTTTTCAAGCAGCAAAATATTTCCATGGAGTTTACCATCTTAATGGAGTAAACTATTCACAGGTATGAGGTAAATAGTCTACTCTGTATTGCCGCTCGATGCCGACAAAGATTCATTACCTCACTCAAAGTCTTGTTATAAAAACTGTCAACATTTCTCACCTGAACCATGATCAGTTTTCTCTCCTTGGGCCTTCCATCGGGCCACTCCTCTCCAAAACACAGGTTGATTTCAAATGAAGGAGGGCTTGGTGTCTGGCCACGCTGGTGGGCTATCACTCCTGCACACAATAAAAAAAAAACATTTATTAGTTCTCTTTCTCAGAGAATATTACAAATAAATTAAATCAACATATAACCCAATTTTACTAATTGTCCCGATAAACGTAAGAATTCTACTTACCACTGAGGAAAGACTCCAGGCAAAAGAGTTTGATCTTCCTCTGGCGCTCAATAAGATTTGGTGCAGCTTGATTTGGAGCACAAGGACCGGACCAGTACACCTTACACTGGCAGAGGCGGACTGCGTAGATATCGTGGCCGCTTACCTCCAGGATTAGGCCTCTGTCCATCACATCCAGCAGGCGGCTAGTGAAAACCCTCTGCTTGTCGTTGGGAATGTGCTCGGTGGTCGGAAAGCGTAGCTGTTCCAGGTTCACCGGCCCGAACAGCTCCTCCTGGTTGACCATGGGGCCGAGGTCCCCGTAGAACAGCCTGCAGCCCTGTGGGTTACTGACGGTCACTGTGGGACACATCTCCTTCCCTCTGTACAGGAACTGCACCTCCAGGTCAGTCACTGGGTTGGAGATGAATGTAGGCACGTGTTAAAACCATGTTTCGTGCAACAACTGAAGATTTGCTTCAATTTCAGAGAAAGTTCACCCCCCCCAAAAAAGAATACAGTGTCCTCAGTGTATCTGAAGTGCTACCAAGGTTTGGAGTTACCCTGTACTGGTGAATTTAGGTCAACTGTCTCCTAATTATGTGTGGTGGTCAATGGATTTCCACATTTTTCAACCACACTGGAGGAAGCATGTACTCACTCGGGAGGGAACTGATCCACGTTTCTGGAGAGGCAAACAGGGCGTCGGGTAGAGGAGGGGGCTGCAGTGAGTGATCAGACAGAGGAGCAGGGGGCATGTCGACCATGGGTGTGGGGTGCATCTCCACATCCACAGGCTCCTCTTTAGGCCAGACCTCATTTGAAGGGGGGCAACTGGAAGGCTGCAGGGAGGAATCTGCGCTCATAGGAGACCACATAATGAGAGGAGAGGGACTGGTGCCTACATGAGGAAAGAGAGAAGAATAAATTTGCTGCCAGTAAATTGACCCTTCGCTAAGCCACGCCCACCTTTGTTACTGTTGCTTGATGGACTGCCACTGTCTATTACTGCAATCCCTGGAGAAATATTTTCTAGTTTTTGGAAAAATGATCTCAGAAAGAAGCAGACAGTTTTGCTGTTGCATAGTTAGCTACCGTTTGCTAATTAACATTACATTAGAAACAATCCACAGCCGACATTTTTCTGGATTGGTTTTAGGTTTTGGAAAGAGAATTAAATCACACTTCCCCTATCAACCTCTCTGGTTAGCGACTGTAACTATTACAAGTGCCTCGGCAGAAGACAGCTAGAAAACGACTCCTTTTGCATTAGAGTCAATGGAGCGCAGCCATGAAAGTGTCAGACCTCAGTTAGAGAGAGTCCTATTCTGTGCTGTGAATGGCCAGCTGTGTGTTCAGGGCGTTGCTTAGCAAAGGGTCAATTAAAAATAAAGGTTTAATCTGTGAGGAGAAGTTACTCACCGTTGGATGGGTATGGAGGGAGAGACTCTGGTGTATCTGGAACATCTTCCTCACCACCATCTTCATCATGCGGAGTCCAGGAGCCAGCGTCTGAGGAGCCTGTGGGGCGAGATACATCAATTATAAAATAGTAATGTTTACAAAATGAAAGTGAAATTGCAGCAAATCTGTAAAGATCGTCTTCAACCAGTTCTTGTTTACCCTGGTTACTGAGGGGCTGTGGGATGTCGCAGACATCATAGATCTTCAAAGGATTCATGGGGACCTCTTTGGTACCATCATAGACCAGCTTGAACTCTCGGCTTTTGTTCAGGGCACATCGAAGCTGAGCTTTCCACTTTGCAGGATCAGGTTCATCAGATCCCTCTTGGAACTTCCCGGTCTCCACGGCCCACGCCTGGAGGAACATTTAAATACAACGGAGGTATCAGTATCACTGTCCTGTTTAAACACTTTTATATTCCTATACAGGATCCACATTTACTGTTGAAAGTAGGACACTTAAGAGATTCATCACCCCAAAAATACTTCCTTTCTAATGAAGCCTGTGAACAATGTCACCCAATGCTGTTCAGTGCAAAGTTGTTTTAGTATTTGTAATCTTAAACCAGTCTTCGCTCTCTCTTTTTTCTTTTTATTTATTATTTCGCCTTAACATCTTGTTTAACATCTTTCCTTGCATATATCTGCAGTTAGTCTTATAATAATATATCCCTGTCTTGACTCTTTAAAAGCAGTAACACAAATACAGAACCAATACCAATATGATGTGATGACTTGTACCAATCTTTCCTAATGCTACAAGCCGGAGAGAGCCCTATGTAGGCTTAAATGGGTTGCAAAACAAGATTTTGCTCCAGATACATGCAAAGGTTTTGCTATATAATTGTACACTTTTATTGCATATTTAAGCAACATAAACTTGCTTAAAAGAAAAAAAAAATCGAGTGTCCAATCCATTTCCATCTCAAGATTTACATGTTCTGATTGTGGCCTCAGAGTAGGCTACTTTACATTTGTGTGTGTGTGAATGTTTTCATACCATAGGCCTTTGTTAAGAGTAGGCAAGAGGAATCACCTTAAATATGGTGTCCTCGTCCTCGTGCTGGGGTGTGTGGCGTGTGGCGTGTTTCCACGGAATCTTGAAGCGCATGTTTTCACGGTCCATCCACACCAGACCCGGGTATCGCCCGCTGTCTACCTGAGCGACCAGCCAAGGTTTCAGCCTCACACGTCGAGGGGTGACCGACATCCTGGCTGTCAAGTAAACACAAACCCGTCAGTCCAAGGTAGGTTATAACTCCGAATAACTTCCTCGACCGCCAAGGGCTATATAGTCTCATCTGTGACAAACAATGCTGCAGCTGAAAGCCTGCAAATCCGGATGTTCCAAAAATTTTAAACTGTTTGTCCACACCTTGCCAGGCATAACTTACACTATTTGTTTGGCATACCAGGCTATTGCAGCTGCTTGCAGGTTAGACCTTGTATGATAGGCCAGTCTATCTTTAAATGTGAGAATTACAGTCAAATTGATCCAAAAATTAAATTTAAAAAAAATAAATAAAAAACCGACCAAACACGATACTAAAGAAAGACACACATACCTGTAGTAAACCAGGAAGTGGAAGAAGTCTTTCCTCGTCGGCCTGCTGACGAATAAAACCGTGTGCGTCCTCCTCAAATCCCCCCCAAACCACTGCAGACTCTCAAAACAAAGTTAATCGATAATCACCTCGACGAAAGTGGGTGAGAACAACACCAAGAGGTACGTTTATCTCGGAGAACTCTAAAGAGCTGGTGTTGCTCGCTCGGTTTGCCCTTCCCCTTTGCACACCGAAACTCAGGTACGGGCGTGACGTCACGTCGGTGACACACCTTTCGCGAGCCGAGTAGCTGGGAGACAGCTTTTTAATGAGGCACGTTGACGGTGCATTTTTTCTTCCCACGAGCATCTGAGCATTTCACTGTGAGCCATGCAAAATTATTCTGATACAGAAATACTTAGCCTACTTCTAATTATAGTCACATAAATAATCCGGATCTCGACATAAGCACTGGCTTTTTTAGAAATATTTTGATAGCATTTACATTTGACATTTACATGGTTGTTTTTCATCAATAATCTAATGTCATTATACATGCTTATATCATATAACGTTCAGAGAAATTTAGGAAAAAATAAATCTACTTTTAGTCGTTTTTCATGGAAGTAGATCACATTAGAATTGCTGAATCATCAGTTTACAAGACGAGGTTTAATTTACGCAGTTAGGGTTTTTACACCGTTTTTTTGTTATTTTTCTCCGCTGATGTTGGTTAGCCTACTTAGTTATTTCCTTTGAGAGTGTGAGGAGAAAAAAAATGTTCATCTAAAGGGTTTATTACAAGTGGCCTACGTGAATATCCCTAAGTTGGTTAACACCAAGAACTCAGATTGCAGACAATATGGCTGATATGACTTGACTCAGCTGGTAGGCAGTTTGTTTCCAGGAGTTTCCAGGAAAAATAAGAATAGATTCAAGTGGCACAAGTTAAGTGGACGTGGGATGATGATGTCGTCGCTAGTCGCCAAAACAGCCGACTATAACAAACCACTCCCTGAAACTAACTGAAACATGGCTTTGAGAGCATGTGTCTATCAGCTGTGCACCTTTCCCCTTGGATTTCCTAGTTTCGGCATCATATGCATGATGAGCCTGTTGCCATGTGATGCTAATTATTTGTTGTGCATTCTAGGATGGGGGTGGATGGTTGGACAGGTGGATTTGGCTGGGTGTGTTGGGTTATTTTGGGTTCAAATTAACTAAATTTAGTGCCAGCTGCATCACAAAGGATTTACATGAGCTCAGTATGCATATACAAATAAGCCTTCAGAACTCCCTTAATTCTCTGTAGCATACTATCAACAAGGTGTTGGAAACCATCCTCAGAGACTTTGGTCCATATTACAGTTTTTGCTTAGTTTGTCGCTTTGGTACATTTCTTAGATCATCCTAACACTAGGCCTATGCCTTTAACCTCACAGGTGCCCCCCCACACCAGTACCTATCTACAATCTTTGTCTGTCCACCCAAAAGGGCTCAGGACACAGGCAGTAACAATATAACTGAATGCATTTGAATTGTTGTTTAAAAAGTAAGATCCTGTATTTCGCCAGAAATAACCGCTTTATCGCTCTCGTCAAAGCCACTAAACTCCATTGACATAATCAGTAATTTTAATGTTACTGCTGCCAGGTTATTGCGTTATTTATTGCGTTATTGCTTTTTAAAGCTTTTTGTGTGACTTTGGTGTTCAAAAGATTAGTTCGGATCTGAGCTAACATATGCTGGTGTAGGGGGCACTTGTGAGATTGAAGGCTTGTTTCTGTTTGCCTGATAAACGGGAACTGTCCTGGGTAGTTTCCTGCATTCAATCTTCCACGATGAGATATTATTAAAAAAAAGGTTTATTCCATATATTCAGAATTTCATTCAATATATTCAGACTTTCATTCAATATTTTCAGACTTTCATTCCATATATTCAGACGGACAAACTTCATATACATATATTTCCTAAACAGCATGCCATAACATAGGCTATATATATATATATATATATATATATATATATATATATATGCTGGCGATTTGCACTATTCACTGCTCACTGTGTATTGTTACTGTTTAGCCTACTATGTTTGATACTGTGCCTATCAAATGAATGGTCTGTTGCTTTTGTTGTGTGTTGTGATTTGTTGTTGTTAATTCTTACTTTGTGTGTGTACCTTGGTCTGTAAGAATCAATATTTCATTCAGCTGTATACTTGTATGCAAAGAATGACAATACCTCTTGATTTTGTCAATGTGTTTAACCATCCTGTATGTAGTGACTTGTGCAATGACCTTTAGCCTAGATGTTTTGGAGAGAACCGGTATCAAGCAATGTGATCAGCATGAAATAAGCAAATGATAGTGTAGGAAACAGCAGACAATTGTACATGATCATTTTCATCAATGTGTCAAAACATTTGCAATTTGTTCAAAATAATGAGAAATTGCATTTATGATGTGCACAAGTGAAGAGATGATGTGGAGGCTGAACAAGTAATTTTGTGAATTTCAATTCTGATCTGAGAAATGTACTAAAGCGACTGAGAAAAACTGTAACGCAAGATATGCTTCATGCTTTACAATTTACGACAACATTTATTTGGCAACACATTTTGCACCATTAGGAATGTGCACATATCAAAATGAAAGATTTTTCTTTATAAACATAAACTTACAAGCCGACATACTTGACAGCATCAGAAGCTAATCACATGTGGAACTTTAATCGATGAACAACTAAATATTATATATAAATATATATAAAAAAGGACTAGTCACAGTTGTATAAAAGCTGCTAGAGTTGTTAGTTGTTTCCACTTACTTTGCTTTGAGTAATACAAAAAAATAACTTAAGGGAGAAACATGGAAATGCCCTGAGGTTGTCCTAAATAATAAACAGTCAGTCAGAATCCAACTAGAGGCTGATTAAAGGTAAAGTTGTTTATTTTAAATTAAACATTACAGCTACTGTCCTGCCTACCTCAGTGGATGTAGTTTTTTGTATCTAATTCATTCAAAGTATAAAAGAGATTTTCTGTAAAGGCTTTAATGTACAAAACATCTCTGCATTGCTCAGAAGAGGGGACATCTCAGGAGGCTTTACTGTACAGTATATAAAACACTACAATTAAGAAAGTCAAAGGGTCTCTGGATTCTACTGGTTGGTTTTTACACATATTTTACACATACATGAAGTTCAACACTTATGTAATGTCAAACAGCATACAATGGCTACAATGAATGGCAATAATGGCACTTAATGAGCACAGAAATCATGCAAAGTTTTTTCCAGCAGAGGATGCACCTGAACGCTGATACAGTTAAATAATCTAAGTTATTAACGTTATAACGTAGACCCATTAAATTTGCTTCAGTTATTTCAGAACCTGAAGCTGACAAGAAGACATTTTATCATAAAGTAGCATCCTGACTCCATTATTTTTTTCACAGAGGTAGCTTACTTTTCTGCATTTCAAAGTGTGTGTCCTTTCATTAAATACAACTTTTGATATAGATGGATAGATTTGTCCACATCCATTTATCCTGAATTCATCTTCAATCATTCGGCTGTGGCACAATTATACAAAAAAATATATTTTAGGGGTACGTAACATTGGAAATATTACATTTTGGTCCTCATTTCTCCTTGTATTTTTTTTACAATGTGTGTGAGGTCCAAGCGCTCTGTTAGTGTCTTCTGCAGCATTTCGTCATTCTGAACCCCCTCCATGAACTCCTCATAGGACAGTTCACCTGGAAAATTGAAATGGAAAAAACACACACACTCATTCACTCACTGAACTCAAATCCTTCACTGCCGGTGGTGATGCAGATTCATTTTTAGTGAATTTTTTGCCACAGTTAAGATCTATCACCCCCTAACCCTGTTGGTCTCGTCCTTGGGTCTCACCATCTCCATTGGTGTCAATCTTGTCAAACACCATGTTGGCAAAGTCCTCTGCTGACATCTCACCTGGAATTCCACTGATTGCATGGATGGACTAAACATGACACAAAGAAAGCAGTTAAAGACCGACACATACATTGCTTAGTTGTTGCTTACATTTCTTCAACCAGTAGATGTCAGCAAAGTGTCAGCTGCTTGCCTCAGCACATTGCATTACCACATGGTGTCCCATGCATTTCTGTGCCTTGAGTGTCATTTAAACCCAGTGGTCTGAGCAGTTGTTTCAGTACATGACTTTGGATTTGCTATAAGCCATTGGTTAAGCAGAAGGCTCATGCACACCTTAATTATCAGAAGCAGCTCCTCACGGTCGATGCAGCCACTCCGGTCGATATCATACAGTTTAAAGTACCAGCGGAGCTTCTGCTGCACCCCTCCTTTCAGAACCAGGCTCAGAGCGGCTACATACTCCATGAAATCCATGTATCCATCATACAAAAGAAAAGCTCAACATGAATATTGTCATAGGCAGAGGTGAATGACATTCAAGGTTTAATCCTGCCCCATTTAGGGCTGTGCAAAAAAACTGTCAAATTGTGACAGTAAGGCCTGTTGCCCACCCATTTAATACTTTCTTTAAATGTAGGCCTAATACCTCCAATAATGATCTAATAACTTCTGGATAAAGACACTATTATTGGAAACACAATGATAGCTTACATGTTTGTAAAAAGAGGTTGCACCTGTCTTGTTTAAGGTTGTAGGTTAGCCTAGTTAGGTAAGCACCGTCGGAAGGGATAAGCTCCCTCTCTAATAGGTTTCTTTCAAACATTTCTCGTAGCAGAATTAACACACCATTAGAATTAATACATGAACTTTCCTCTTATGAAAACACAAGCAGACACCGAATCAAAATACTTTTCTTTTTACTTTTTACTTTTCTAAAAGCTGGGATGAACATGAAGAGTGTCTTTGCTCATACTGTTCTCATGTAAGTCTGTAAGTCTACAAAGAGACATGATATAGGGGTAACTGGTGAATATAAAGTACAAATAAACATGGTTTTTTTTTCCAAATCTTTGTGGGTTCTCTGATGATGATGATGATGATTATAATTCTTATTTTTGATAATAGTAGTAGTAGAGTTTCAGTATTATATTATGAATATGATTTAGTTTACTCATATTAGCAGCAAAGTCATAAGCTATCTACATGCAAATCAATACATTAAATGTACACTTTACCTCTACTGACATACAGTAACATTAGAAGATTATAACATATAGACTGCTAGAAGATTAAAAATGATCTTACACCATTCAAATCGAATGTTTTAAACATTGTCTCAACGTAGGCATTTGACGTATCCGACAGATTCCTCAGGCCAAATAATTGCTTGAACTCGTAATAGGTGACAAGTCCAGATGGGCACTCGGTCATGAATTTTCTGTACCACTGATGACTCTGGCAAGCTTCTAGTTCATCCACAGTCGACCCAGTGAAGTTTCCCATGTCTGTTTTTCAAAGCAACGATTGTGAAAAAATTGTAACAACTGAATATACTGCATTCACCAAGTGTCCAGGCATGGCTAGTATGCAGACTAAAAAACAAGCAGCAGGAGTCAGTGTGTGTGTTAGCCAATCATCTCTCTGTGAAAGGCTCAGAAGTTGTAATCCTCTTTTCTTGCCAGCAGAAACTTAACTAATTAAACAGACCTAAGAGCAAAAATAACTCCTTGTGTACAGGACACAACACCAGCTGACCAATAACAAATATTTAAGATTTCTGACTGGCTTTTATGAATCAAATATCAATTGTTACTGCTCATTTAACCAATTTGGCGTGATTGTGCTTGATGAACTCTACAACACAAATAGCTAATATTTTGATGTTGAGTTTGATGTTTATCTACTTTTCCCAAAGAAATAATTGTTTCTCCCAAACACTTATTTTGGTTGTGTGCATGCAACATAAAGCATATTATGTATACTTTTTTCTGTAATTGTGAATATATTTTAATTCCTATCCCCCTTAGCTTGTTGCTGATTTTAATGCATCTTTTTTATTCCTGCCTGTTTTGCACATGTGTGCACAAGCTGTGATAGTAGTACAGTGGGTACGGAAAGTATTCAGACCCCTTTAAATTTTTCACTCTTTGTTTCATTGCAGCCATTTTCCAAAAATCAAAAAAGTTCATTTTATTTCTCAGTAATGTACACTCAGCACCCCATCTTGACAGAAAAAAACAGAAATGTAGAAATTTTTGCAAATTTATTAAAAAAGAAAAACTGAAATATCACATGGTCATAAGTATTCAGACCCTTTGCCGTGACACTCATATTTAACTCAGGTGCTGTCTATTTCTTCTGATCATCCTTGAGATGGTTCTACACCTTCATTTGAGTCCAGCTGTGTTTGATTATACTGATTGGACTTGATTAGGAAAGCCACACACCTGTCTATATAAGACCTTACAGCTCACAGTGCATGTCAGAGCAAATGAGAATCATGAGGTCAAAGGAACTGCCTGAAGAGCTCAGAGACAGAATTGTGGCAAGGCACAGATCTGGCCAAGGTTACAAAAAATTTCTGCTGCACTTAAGGTTCCTAAGAGCACAGTGGCCTCCATAATCCTCAAATGGAAGACGTTTGGGACGACCAGAACCCTTCCTAGAGCTGGCCGTCCGGCCAAACTGAGCTATCGGGGGAGAAGAGCCTTGGTGAGAGAGGTAAAGAAGAACCCAAAGGTCACTGTGGCTGAGCTCCAGAGATGCAGTCGGGAGATGGGAGAAAGTTGTAGTAAGTCAACCATCACTGCAGCAATCCACCAGTCGGGGCTTTATGGCAGAGTGGCCCGACGGAAGCCTCTCCTCAGTGCAAGACACATGAAAGCCCGCATGGAGTTTGCTAAAAAATACCTGAAGGACTCCAAGATGGTGATAAATAAGATCCTCTGGTCTGATGAGACCAAGATAGAACTTTTTGGCCTTAATTCTAAGCGGTATGTGTGGAGAAAACCAGGCACTGCTCATCACCTGTCCAATACAGTCTCAACAGTGAAGCATGGTGGTGGCAGCATCATGCTGTGGGGGTGTTTTTCAGCTGCAGGGACAGGACGACTGGTTGCAATCGAGGGAAAGATGAATGCGGCCAAGTACAGGGATATCCTGGACGAAAACCTTTTCCAGAGTGCTCTGGACCTCAGACTGGGCCGAAGGTTTACCTTCCAACAAGACAATGACCCTAAGCACACCGCTAAAATAACGAAGGAGTGGCTTCACAACAACTCCGTGGCTGTTCTTGAATGGCCCAGCCAGAGCCCTGACTTAAACCCAATTGAGCATCTCTGGAGAGACCTGAAAATGGCTGTCCACCAACGTTTACCATCCAACCTGACAGAACTGGAGAGGATCTGTAAGGAGGAATGGCAGAGGATACCCAAATCCAGATGTGAAAAACTTGTTGCATCTTTCCCAAAACGACTCATGGCTGTATTAGATCAAAAGGGTGCTTCTACTAAATACTGAGCAAAGGGTCTGAATACTTATGACCATGTGATATTTCAGTTTTTCTTTTTTAATAAATTTGCAAAAATTTCTACATTTCTGTTTTTTTCTGTCAAGATGGGGTGCTGAGTGTACATTACTGAGAAATAAAATGAACTTTTTTGATTTTTGGAAAATGGCTGCAATGAAACAAAGAGTGAAAAATTTAAAGGGGTCTGAATACTTTCCGTACCCACTGTATATGGCATTTGTGTACTTAATTTGAATATATATAGCCTATGTGCTTTCCTGATGTGTTTCATAAAAACAAGATTGACAGTCTGCAGCTCTGTGAGGGTGTACTAGATGCACACGTCAGCGCGCTAACATGCTTGCAATAATACAAGCATGCTGATGTTAAGCAAGTATGATGTTTTCCATTTTCACTGTGTTGGTTTAGAGCCTGCCACTGTTTGCTAATTAGCACTAAACCCAAAGCACAGGTGAGGTTGTTGTCATTTTGCAGGTATTTGGCCATAAACCAATATATCAGACAGATGGAAATTTTGGCCAGATGTAGGCGCTGGACCAAAAGTCAGGAGATCAGAGTTATCATAAATCATATTCTGAGGACCATAAAGCATGAACAAAATGTTACAGTAAATCATGCAGTAGTTATCGAAATATTTAAATAAAGAGCTAAATGTTAACCTCCTACTGGTACCCGAGGAAAAATAAGAGGCTCACTAAAGTCAATAGGATTCAGCCTCTGGAGACCATGAATTTCTTTACAAAAATGTATGGCAATCCATCCAATACTTGTTGAGATATATTATTCTGCAGCATAGCCCTACCTAGAGCCACGGCGCTAGTGGGGCTAAAAAAAAGAAAATACTTTCTAGAAAACTAAATTATAACCCTTAAAGTGTAACTGATTGTATGTGTGTTGTTGTTATTAGGTTCTCTGCTTCACTGGGTTGTGGTCTTTAATCACAATATGCTATTGTCTCACAGGTGAAATGGGGCCCACATATGGGGTTTAATGCAGTTCAGAGGGCCACGCTGTGTGTAACTTCGGGCCATCCCTCAGTAACTGTGAAAGCATTCACATTTACTGTACACAATGACAAGAACTCAACCTCACAGCTAGGGGGTCATCGACGCCGAGGGGAAAAGAAAAGGTAAACTCATAGAGGCAAAAGGAAGCTGAACACAAAATGTATCATTAACAATTTTTTTTAACATTCAAAACATATTCTACCAGTCCAGACATACTGTGTGTGGACAGTAAGTTAGAAAACTGACCATTTATTAAAATACAGTATTGCAGCTCTTTGAGACAAACATCAATTGCAAAACATTTGTACATATTCATAAAGCTCCTTTCTTTATGTCTTCTCGCTGAAGTGACCTCTCAGCTTAACCTAGTTGGAGGAATGGCCGACCCTCTTAAAGCTCCTCCATCTGCTGTCACATCCACCACATTGGCTGCTGGTTTGTTGGACTGGACAGGGACGGCAATAAGCCTCCAATGTAACGTCTCCTGCGGCAGAAAGAATTTGATTTCAAAAATGAAATGTAAGAGTTACAGATTTTGTTAGAGCAAAATGTTACAGCACGAAAACAGGTCTGTTCATCCAAATTACAAAAAAATGTTTTACTTACTTACTTAGTATCTAGCTTTGATAATAGTTTTGGTTTTACTTGCCTTGGTTTGAAGATGTCTGGTTCCACCAATGGATATTAATACAATTTTTTTTTCAAAGAGAAAAATGAATTAGCCAAGCAGTTAGGCACACAAATAAGCCAAACGTAATTTTGTCTATAAGCACGCAAAGCAATAATAAGGGTATTCGTAAAAAAAAAAATATTATTCAATACACCATTATGCTACATTATCAGGTGCTAATTGAATTATGCAACACTGAAGCCTCCAGTACACAGACCAACACATACATGAATGAACATAAATCACTGTAGCAAGACTACAATGAACGATGTTTTTGTTGGAACTACTTTCTACTGAAGAAATACTTCTGACGGAAATAAAAACTGCCTTCAGATGGCGGATCCATAATGCTGAAATACACCAGAATTGCTTCTGTCACCTTAGTAACTGCACACATTCTTCCACTGTACTTTCATTGACATTATCATACCTCATCACAATGGAATGCAAAAGATTTATTTAAGGTCAGGTGTCTTTGTACTTTGCACATGTGGGATTTTGCAAATGCACAATATGATTTGTGACTAAAACTACAGGGGAAGAAAGGGGAACGAAAGCACAAGTGGATCAGAAAAAAATGCTGTATGTACTGGTGCCTGTATTAGTACTGTCTGCCATCAGGACACTGTTTCCATAAAATATGAGAAAACTTTAATCAACAGTGTAAAGTGGCTTTATTATTTTATGTGCAATTAAAAGTATAAAAACACTGCCATCATAGTGCCTCTCCTAACTGAATGAGCTTATTGTGGTAAAAGTAACTGCATAAATGGCTGAATAATTGCATTGAATGAATGTTGAGCTGTATAGCATGTTCACCACTGGGAAGCAGGTAAGCTCTTGCCAACACATTCTTCACATTTCAGCCAGCATCAGTTGGCATGATGAATTCCCACCCAGGACAGAGGAACTGGACGGACCAGTCCGGTTTGTCTCCAGGACAGCTGAGGTTTTAGGTGCGACAGAAAGACTTGTAGACTGCTGACAAGAGACAAATAAAGACGATTGACTGGCTTTCTGGATGGTGTGAATATTTCAAAAATCCGCTATTACATAATTTAAAGCAAGAGGCCAAAACTCCTCCTGCTTAAACTCACTTCAGTGATTACAATCCATAGTCAAATGTGAGTCTTTGTCATCCTACATTTATATCAATCTGATCAAGGAAATACATTAAATGTCCTTGTTGGACTATTACTATGGTAGTAGTAAGTGACATGGTATTCAGATCAAGTATGTGATAACACAAAGTAAAAGCATTATCAGCTAAATGTTCTTAAAATATCAAAAGTAAACTCATGGTGCTGCACGGCCCTTGTCATTGTTATTGTTACTTACTATGTTTTATATATTTGGATGATTATTTCCAAGTGATACAATTTAACTAATACCAACAAAAGGCCCTAAAATAGTGTAGTAAGTATTGCAATTTTTATTTCATGGTTATTTATGGTTCACACTTTCAGGTTAGCTGAGTCTGGGCCACATTGTAAAAAACCAAACAACCTGTGTAGGCTGGCATTTTTTTTTACAAATAGTCCAGTAGATTTATGTTCTTTTTATTTTGTTTTATTTCTCCATTAATGACCATTTCCTGAATTTCTTGTTGTATTTCATGATATTTTATGTGCTCCTGCAAATCACAGTGATGGATTTTGTGTATTTAGATCATTAAAGTAAAAGTACCAAAACCACACCATAAAAATACTCTGTTACAAGTAAAAATCCTCCATTCTCATTTTACTTATGTAAATATGCACAAGTATTGCCAGTAAAATTTACTATATATATGTTTATTATTGGATTATTACTATTGATGCATCAAGTACTTGTAACGTTGAAGCTGGCTGAAGTAACGGAGACAATTTTAACTGCTTTATATACTTTCGTGTTGTCAAATCTATAATAATGCATCATATTTTAAAAAGTGATCATTTATATTTAAGATGTTGATCTTCAAGTTTGATCAAAGTAAAGGTGTCTAGCAAAAATTAATATTTGCCTCTGAAATGTGGTGGAGCACAAGCATAAGTAACACGAGATGGAAATACTCAAGTACATTAAAGTTGTATTGAACAGTGTTGGAAAAAGTATTAGGATCTTTGTCTTGAGGAAAACTAGCAATACAACAATTTAAAAACACTCTGTTACAAGTACAACTCCTGCATTCAAAATCATACTTAAGTAAAAGTAAACAAGCATTATCAAGACAATGTATTTAAAGTAAGTCATCAATATGCAGCCAAAATGGGTTCTGCTGTTGTTACATTATTAAACATTATAATGTTAGATTATTATTATTTATGCAGTATGATGCATTTTAATAATGTAGATGGCTGCAGCAGAGCTTTATGTTATACTGTTGGTGGTTTAATTTACTGTAAACTGGATACTGGATACAACATGCATTGTATTTTATATGCTTATTTGGGTTTTAAAATCTGCATTCGGTTACACTACTACTAAATGTAGTAGAGCTTCTGAAATTCAGAAGAAGTAAGTTGTAGAAAATTAAAACACTCAAGTAAACTCAGAATATAGTAACTCAGAATTTTATTTCAGTAGATATAACAGCACTTGAGTGAATGTACTTAGTTACTTTCCACCTGAATCACCTTGGACTTCTTGTTTTGAAAGGTGCTAAAGAAATAAAGTATAATAAAATGTAACTTTATTATGTTTTATTACACATATATCACATATACTCTAAGAGCAAAGGGGCATTTCCCATCAGCATCTTACTTCCTGTTGAAATCCAAAACACTGGTCCTCGGTGACTCACATAAAACAAAAGCCCATTTGGATTTTCATCAAGGTGTTGGTGGGTATTAGGCCTGATGTTTCTTCCAAGTGAAACCACTGCCACAGTCACAGTCAGCCCTGCCCTGCCAATAAGGCGGACCACAGCGCTGTGAAGTCTTTATGAGGATGACAGACTCATTTCGCGGCTCTCTAAGATGAGCAGTGAGAGCATAGTGAGCAACAGGAGCGGCTCAGGGAGTGCGCAGGTAAACGCAGGTGAGCTTTGTGCTGGGAGTGTATAAAAACAGGGAGGCACAGTGACAGGAGAGAAGGCGTGGTCGGCTCCATTTTCTCTGTCTGTCCCGAAAAGTTTCCATCAGATCACAGGAGTCAGGTTTACCTGGCGCGCGACGGTGCACCTGTCGCGAAATTCGAGAGTAGCTCACCTGCACGTTACCTCGGACTTACCTGTTGACCAAAATGCGTCAATAAGCTTGCCTCAACCAGCCCAGCCGTATCTACACATCCACTAACCAGCAAACATGAAGAAGGGAACGTTGAATTTCATGTCTCGGAAGAAGCCGTCTCTTTTTGACTCTAACATCAAAATTAAAGACATGGGTAAGTACCGTGTTTACAGGGCCTATAGGCTATAAAGGAGAGAATGTGTTAACATGAACGATTCACTGAGGAATAAATGACCTTTGTACCTGGTGTTGACATGAACAGAAGTCTGTAGGCTAAATGTTGATAATATGATCCTAAAAGACATCCTCACCAGCCTTTTAGTATTTTTGACATGTCCATATGAGCAGCAGGTGCTGTCAGGATAGTGAGTTCATCCGTGAAAAGCCTGTTCTCAAATGTCTCTTCTTGGGAAATCTGGGTGACCTTGCATAGTGTGGCTTCACAATGACCTGCCCTCTGTACAACACACATTGTGTTGCTGTAGTTTTTTTGTTGCCTTAACAATGCTTTAAGGAAATAACGGGATGTTGTTTAGGAGCTCAAGCCAAATGAGGAAATTGGTTTAATTGAATCTCTTCAGGATCCATTACTCTGTTATTAGAAAAATATTTTAAAAAGCTGCTTTCAGTGTGTTTGTTTGACCGATGTTTACTGTCCTGACCTGTTTAGACATAGGTTGAAATCCTTAATGTGAACAACAGTCAACTCTAATCTCAGATACACAACATAATGATATCTAGCGGTGGTTGCAAGTGAAATATCAGCGGAGGTGGCAGAAGCTCACTCTGTGGGGACTTGGCTTGGGAACTGGAGAGTTTCCAGTACAGACCAGTCATACAGAGTTTGGACCAGGGGCTAGAGAGATGCCAGTTCATCTAATGGGCACTGTCATGGTGCCCCTTGAGCAAGGCACCGAACCCCTACTGCTCTGGGCACCTGACTATGTGGCAGCCCCCTCACTCTGACACCTCTCCTGTATTCTGGTCCTGTGTGTATAAAATAACAGAGTGTAGAAATTTCTTCTTCTTCGCTATCCTGACAAAAGTATGAAGACCTGACTGGATGATACTGACCAAAATAAAAATCACATTACTTTTGTTGAAATACCTTGATATCAATACACTACTTTAGGGACTGGAACTTTAGTAATACTATAGGAACATATAATTGCACATATACATACTATTACAACTTAGCAAACTCCATCAGCTGAGAAAGACTGTGAGATGCGGTTCATAGATCTAGAAAAAGATAGTACGCAGACTATGAGTTGTTTTTTTTTGCCAAACTAAGAGGAAATGATGTTTAGTTTAGTTTAGTTTATTTGTTTAGCACGTTTGGTACAAGTCCAGAACAATGCAAGGAGGGAACGAAGCCAGACTAGGCTTGTACAGAGTTCCACTCCTTAATACATTATTCACTGTGCCTTTCACTCAGCTTAAACATTTAAATCATAAAGTTGGTTTGCTTAAAAGTAAAGCAGCCTTTAAACCAGGAAAAGACTTAAACTTAAAAGATAATACCATAATATTATCGTAACACTAATTCCTGACAATAGACTCATCTATCAGTTCACTGTTTAGCTTGACGTGACAATAGTTCCATTTAAGGAAGAGCAGGAAACAAGCTATGCAAAGCCACAAAATGAGAAAGAACATTTGTGTATTTAAATCAGGCAGGGGAACAATAAGGAAACTAATCATTTGGTTAGACTGGTTTAACACCACATGCAATTCTTTCTGTACTCGCTTGTACCGAGTTGAGCCCTCAGCTGTATTTGTTTTGGTGTGACACCATCATATGTTCAGTGCGTGAACATCACAGGGAAAACATAATACTTGTACTAATACTTGAGGAAAGGAAAATCACTTTGCCTTCCTTGTTTATTATGTCAAGCTCTTTCGTCACTCTTTGGTGATTCTTTCTTCAGCCCCTTTGGAAGGTGTTTCTGTAGAAGGCTGACAGAACATATGGACTAAATGCTTCTCAATGACACGTTTCTTTCATCGGCCACTTGAGACTTGAGATGACTAACGCTGGAATGAACAGTAAAGTAATGTACATTTCTGTTCTCCAGCCGACCTCAGTGACCTAAGATTATCAGTTAGTTTAGCAAAAGTTTTCTTTCAACTGTCTGTATTGGTTTGTAATTTTACATCTAAAGTTGGATGGGTATAAAATTAGTTACTGTGCCTTTATCTAAGTGCTCTTTCAACTCACCTTTCCCTTTTGGCCTAAGTCTAGAATAGCATTTCAATCATTTCAATTTGGGGATATGATTTAATATTGATTATTTAATGATTTAATATAACATTTATACGACCATAACTAAGCTTTCACTTAAACACCGTGGTGAAATATAAATAACAATTACTGTGAGGTCTTCACCTGCCCATAACAGTTTAGTTGTCACTAACAAAACTACCTGGAACAGGACATGGGATCACACAGTAGATAATTAGGTTGAGTGTCACCTACTAGGAGGCCACTGTGGTGCAC